TAATAATCTACAGTAAGGCAAAAAGAACAGCTCAGAAACAAATTTGAATTGTTGACCTATTTTTGGTAATCCACCATTGCTGACAGAAGTTTAAATGATCCTAAAGGGTGACTTATTATGGGGATGCCAAAACAGAAAGCTGTAATACAGAGGAGGAAAGGGAATGATTACTTCTATATCTGTCATTGTTTCCGGTATCCAAATACAAATTCTGTATTTTGTCCACCAAAGAGTTATTTTACAATAAAAAGAAGAGACCAGGAAAGTTTCTATCTGGATTCCTGGTAGTCATCAAAAGCATAGTTGTAGGCAAGAACTTGCTGCTTATCCTGTCTTTGATTTCTGCTAGATCAGCTTCAAAGTTGATACTGAAAATAAGAAGTGAGAAAAAGTTTCTGGAGTCATTCTGCCCTCTCTAAGTTTGTTCACTATGTAAAGGATGGAGATGGTGATTATGCATTTTGCAAGGTGTATGTTGCTGAGAATATGCAGAGTGGTCTGTAAAGGTCACGCCACAGTATTTGCCTTTTTGACACAAGTCTTTGTGTTGAAGGGAGTTGACTCTGTAGCATGATCTGTGTGATTTCTACCTCGGGCCATGATATATTCACATTGAAGCCTCCATTTAGATTTTCTTTGCTTTCAGGGGATCCCTTTAGGTATGTCAGTTTTTTTTCTCCCCAGTCTGCTTTTGGTACAACCACTGCACAAGACAGCACTTTCTGGTTGTAATACTGTGTGTTAGGCAGAGATCAAATGGGTAAAGGAAAGAGCAAGTCGTGTATGTTGGGCACAAGTGTTTGTTGCTGACATGTTAAATCTCATTCATAAAGGGCTGTATCTGTGCTACAGTTATTTATGTGTAAATAAATTCTTTGCTCCCAGGGAATCTGGTACTGAAGCAAATATCACAGTCTTCAAAATCAAAGACTGGAGGGAGCAATGGGAAGTCAGAGCCTTCTTGCATGTAATTTGTATGCTTGACAAATAGATCTCTTACTGCCAAGTTATAAATCAAATTAATATTATGGATATAAAGCTTTAGAGTGGAAAACAAGGCACTGTAGTAAAATGTAATGGGTTTTTTTTGAAAGAAGTATGCTTTTTTAATCCTTGAACATTTGGTAGTAAGAAGGAACCCCTTCCCTCCCTTCTCTGTTGATTAGAATAACTTCTGTTAAAAAGACAGTGGTAATGCACACAGTCCTTTTACAAAACATTTGCCAAGTGAAATTCCTCGCAACTACTGCAGAGAATTCAGAGATATGTTCAGCACTGTTTTCCCAAAGAAATTGCCTTTTATTTGGGGCAGTCTTATCACTGTCTACCTTGTTTTATGCTTAGTCATTTTAAAACCAAAAAGCCTTGTTTCCAAAAGGTCTCCAAAATGTGGATCAGCTGTGCAAGGATATAGGGAGGACTTCCAAAATATTCAGGGAAACTGCTTTGCTATTACCACATGCTAAGGATGGGTTTGCTGTTTATCTTATTTTTCCTGCTCTGAAGATTATGGTTAAACCCAGCCTCTTCCTATTTCTGGTGTGGAGGACAGGAGGAAGGGTTAGTACCTCTCTTCTGCAGAAAAAGGTGTTGTTTTGAGATCTCCACCCCTTATAGTCCATAGAAGATTCTGCATATATGGACTGTATGCAACATTACCCTAATTGTCAGAGGAATTGTCCTCAGCTCTTCTACTATCCAAGAAGAAATCTAAAATATCTGTCCACCTTAGTAGTTATTTTTTAAACCTTCTGCAAGTAATACACACAATGTTTAAGAGTTAAAATGGCCTAAGATGTCCCATGTGAACAGATACAACTAAAATCTCTGAGCATCTGAGTGCTTTGCCTATTCTGGGAATCCCAAGGAAGGGCTGGAGGCTGGCATCAGTGTTTACTCTCTTACCTTTAAACTTACATTGCTCTCAAGATACGATGCTACCTGACACGACGGAGTAACATGTGAGAAACAGAACTTTCACCAAAGAATCTGTGTATTACAGTTTGTGATTAAAGAACCTGAACAAACAACCTTAAATCCTTTCCAGCCTTTCCTAACTATTTGGGAAGTGTTGACAAATGTTGCAAGCCATGGCCATGTAAACAGAAAAAACCCTTTCATTTTTATAACCCTGAACTGTTGTCTAGAGAGCTATTATATGATAAAGAACATAAGTGGATCAGCTTTCTTTATTTAGCATGCACTGCCATAAGTACAGGATACGAACATGTTGGTGACTTTATTGCGTTGAGTAAAATTAGTAATTTATCAAACATAGCTCATCTCTCAAATTATTTCTATAATGGTATTAGTTTTTTGAGGAGCTTTTGGTATGCATGGTATATTTTGAGTTCGAATGAATTTCAGCAGCTATAGTTTATGCTCTGTTTGTTTGTAGATTAACAGATCCATGTCCACAGTAACAGCTTCCCCTCTTTATCCTTCTCCTCCACTGTTAGAAATAGGTTTGGCTTAACACTTGCTAGAAGTGAGAATTTAAGTATCCAATTATTTTAAGTTATTTTTGTATTAAGATATTTTTTAAGAAGCTATAGGAAGATTACTGAAGGATTATTGGGTTGTAAATTTCCAGTGGTTGCTGGTAATTCATTGTGAATAGCACTCCAACAACTTGTAGTGACTGGCATAATTAAATGTTTCAAATTTGCTGTAGTTTTTGCAAGACTTATTACTAATTAGTCTTCTTTTTTAATCTCACTGGTATGCTATGCTATTGAAACATCCACTTTCAAAACTAAGTACTGTCACATCAATATATTTTTTTAATATGCTGTTATTACTGTAACTTATGCAGATTCTAGATCTGTATTTCATGCTTCCCTCAAAACTTTTGTAAACTCTGTTCTTTTTATATAGTGAGGCCAATAATATTAAGATGGTTTTTATTTCCAAATTTACTAAAGAATTTAAATACAACTATTAATCTTAACAATGAGCTTTCTAGAATCTAATAAGTTCCGCTTTAGAAGAATTGATATTGCAGAATGAATACATCTGCTAAAAGATAAGTGCATTTTTCAAGGTCGACAAATTATCTGGATAACTTTGGAATCTGTAGTTGTGGTTTTCTATCTTTTTTTTCTTTTAAGACTTGTGGGTATGGGTCTGTTTTGTTGTCATCTTACTGGCCTGATTGCTGTCTTTACTTGTTTTTGACAAGAAAATTCTTGCTTTCTCTTAGGAGCTTCTGCATTACATGTTAATGTGGGAAAACCTTCTCTTTCCCTTTTGTTCAAATGTATTCAGATTGCTAACTGAAAGCCAGAAGAAAGCAAAAAAATATTGTTTTATGTGGAAAAACAATATTGAAATATTAAAGAACAGGGCAACTCAAAAAGAATGATGAAGATAGGATGAAGTGAGACATATCTGACGTAATTAAAAAATAGAGGTTCTTGGCCTCTGTCTCTGCCTGAGGAGGTTTGTTACTATATAAATAAATTGAATTCTTCTTTCCAATGTTCTGTGCTACTTAAATATGCTGACTAAGCTGTTTCAGCACTTTGATCTTCTGCCATGATCTGGCCCCAGCTGTACTTTCATCCTCTTCAAAAGTATTCTCTCACAGCTATGAATTTGGCCCTAAGGAAATGAGTGTGTAGATTTCCTTTCTTTCTCCGTTAAATACTATCTAGATAGCTGTCTTTGTTGAACAAATAAGCTAGTAAATAATTCCCCAAGGATTTATTTTTTAATCTACTAACAACAGAATCTACTTGGTAACCTTAAACAAAGCTCTAGAGATAAGTGCAATATTTCCCAGCAAAGGAAATTGTTTAGAAGTTATGTTTTTGGGACTGATGTCATTGGACGGAATCCTGAGGTATTTTATGTGAAGTGCAGCTATTTGTGAAGCCTTGAAAAGTGAATATGGTAGTGGACACATCCATCATGTTTCATTGCAGTTCAGACAGGGTATTCTGTGTGGCTTCCAGCTCTCTTGCTCAAAAGGCAGGGAGTTTGACCTGTGTTGTATCCTATCTGCCAGCCCTCTGCTTTGGAGACCCTGTATGGCCATGTCTGCTTAAGAAATTGCTAAAATATGTTTGCCTTGTTCAGATAACATAACTCATTCACCTGTCCTCAATCTTTAACATAAATCTTTAACATAAACATGAGAAGATTTATTACTGAGGAAACTGTACTTTTCTTTTATCACAGCTTAAATAAAAATGCTATTAAAGGTGTTTAGAGACTCTAGGAAAAATGAGGTAGATGATACTCATTAAGGAACTTGACTTTCTTTAAGCTTTTAGCATGCTATTTTCCATAAAGATATCTCCATAATGATAATTTTATTTCTGTAAATAGATTTTTCTGTGCATAGGAAATATGAATCCAAACTAACATGTAGTTAACATCAGCAAAAAATTGAATGCTTCTGTTGTTTCCTCCTGTGATAAAAATATGTTGAAATATTATAAAGAAATATGAGGTAAGACAATATTAAGGCTTTGTACCTCTCTTTCAATTGTTTGTTTTCAGAGAGGAAATTGTGATCATTGTATTTGCTGTACAGGAGAATAGAATTCAGTTTTTTGGAAATTCGGTCTTTACCTCTTTTCAAAGGATACATGATATATTTTTAGTACAAGATTTATGGCAATGGCCAGTTTGTATGTGACAATTTATAGATGGCCACCATGGTAGTTTAGGCCTGTAGTCCAAAACCCAGTAGCTTGTGTTGAAATGGAATACAAACTTAGTGTTAGCTAGCCTGATTTAACAGTCTGGATTGACCCGGTCTAATTGCCAAGTAATTTATCAGCTTCCATTATACTTTCATTGAAGACCATCTAGCAAAGGCCACCATTGCACATGTGTTTTAAAGGAAATAAGATGCCACACTTGTAATTTCTGCAATATCTTATTCTGCTTCATTCTGTTACCCTGTGTAAATATTTTTCTGTTGTATTGCTACCATCAAAGCTGTCAATCAAATCTGATTTGTATTAAATCTCTTCTTTTTGGTTTAACAGATGATGTCACCAATATTGCTCAGGAATCCCTCCTTGCTGATGAAGAGGAGAACGTGCCAACAGGAGTAGGAATTGCAGTTTGGAAAGAACAAACATATCTAGTGACTCAGCTACTGGTGCTGCTCAGTCTTCACCTCTTTATGTTAAAATTGAACACAATTGCCTCAGAAACCTGTGGAAAACAGAAAGGTACTGTGCATTGCCAGCATATTGGGCGGGTAGGAAGAAAACAAATCTGCAATAGAGATAAAATGTTATCAATTTATTAGAGACAATATAATTTGAAGCTTCAAGTTTGAAGTCCTTGTTTGTACTGAGAAAGACTTTAAACCCAACCAGATTTTGTAGGCAGTAAAATAAACTGAATCTATATGAAGTTTTTGTCTTTGCTTGAGTTGCTTTTGTTCTCTTTAAATAGAGGCTTCTTGGATTCACTGAATAGATTTCTTGATATTACGAACATTTTCTTATTTGTGATTTTTTTAAAATAAATTTTGTAAGTAATTTCCTCACCAGCACCACTACCCATGGCATCTAAAGGGTGCAGTACAGAAGGGTGCTTAGTGTCTTATGTTTGTCATATGCTTGCTAACTTGACCACTGTTTTACTTCAGCTGTCTCTGTCACCATTATAGAAAAAAAAGGCTTTAATTACTTTGGTCTCAGTCAGATGCTAAGCTCCTTTGACAGACTTTCCCAACTTCCTATTGACTTATATGTGTTTATAATATGCTTATGTCTGGGTATTCAGCAGGCAGCTATATATGCCATGCATAAAACCCATCACAATATTTTGTTTGCTTCGAGGATCATCTACTACATGGGGAAAATGATCCAATTCCTCCTATTAGAGAAGTATGGTAAGGATGACAGCTTTAATGCAGTGACTAACTTGGGGGGTTTTCATCTTGTGGTTGTCCTGCAGTGGAACTGCAGTGATGATAGAGTTATTAGAATTAGAAATATTAGGAAATAAGCAACCCACACTCTCTATAACTGTTATTTCTGCAGCAAAATGCTGCAGTGAGTCCCTAGAAATGATATTTTTATCTAGAAAGGTATTGAGAATATAGCTGAAATTTGCCAGAAGACTGTAATGCAAAAAGAATGAGAAACTTCAGTCATAGATGATCTCCATATCTAAGTAATAATATCAGAAAGTAGATGATACTGGTTTTGAAGAGAATTAAAATGCTGAGCTCTAAACCCAGCTGATGAATATTATAATTTGCCTTTCTGCGAAGGTGAATGCATTTTGATTTTTAAATTTCAAAGGAATACCATTTAAAAGTTACTTTAGACTGTTTATTCCTGTACACCCAAACAGTTGAACATAAATTAAAAAAAATGATTTAGACATATTTTATTTAGCTGACTCTGCTTGATGAAAATGAAAAATTCCAAACACAGAGAATCTTCGACAGCTAATGTATTTTGTAAAATGATTTTGTCTTGTGCAAATTACCTATAAGGAGGCTTCCTAGTACTTGGAACAAGCTTATGTGGGTTATCATTCTCTGGATTGCTTATGCATATTTGCCTAATGCTACAGAAAAAAACCCCTACATATCTGGCTCCTGTTTGTCTTATTTGATTAGTCATATTTCTTGCATGTCAATGTCTTTTTATTTGGTTAGACTATTTCTGATCTCTCCAACCTGTCTCCTCAGAATGGTGGTGTTCTCCCAAGCATTCATGCACGAATGGTGCTGCTACATCATGCAGCTGTGTGCTGGCACTTTGCTTTAGAGAATGACTGGCTGCATCTGTGAAAATTTAGCATTGCTGTAGCATGCCTGGTCCTTAAATAGGACCAGGCATATTTTTTTAAATGGCCCTTTCTTTCTTTTGCTGACTGATCATGAAATCTACCAAAAATTGGTATTTTTCCCCTTTCTTTGAATTGAGAGACATTAAAATGAGATAAACTTTAGTATTATTCTCATGTTTCCATTTTTTTCTTAACATCCTTTGAACAATCCCTCTCTGCTGACTAATCCTCTGTACAAATATTACTTATATTCACTGCCACATTATTACAGATCCATTATTCTCCAAACACAGAAAACAAGTACTATAATATGTTTGTGTCTGAAAAGTTTTTCTCACTTGCAAATATAAGAAGGTAATACATTTGGGTAGCTGATAGCTTTACAGCTGCTGGCAGAATTCCCACACAGGTTTTGCCGTTAGATAAGCCTGTGACTGGTAATGGTCATGTTGAGATAAGATAGGTATCATTTCACTTAGTCATCTAAAACTAATCCTCTATGTGTTGAGTGTTTCCAAAAGAGGTCTTAAAAAGAAAAGTAAGCCAACTTTTCTGACAAATTGGTAAGGTCTCTCAAATATATAAAACTTGCATCCAGTATTAAGCATAACGGATCTTCAGCCTTTTATGAAGCTCCTTGTATATTCATAAATGAGTATGAATGGAAAAAGAAGGTATGGACCATGAGAAACCTACAGCCTCTGTGGTGTGCATTCAGTAAATAGTAGTGAGAGGCCACAAAGTTGACAGTTCTGACAATTCCTCAGGATATACCATTTTTGGTATATTTTTCTCGATAAATAGGCTCTCACATGGTTATGGTGGTCTTTCTAGCTTTTTTGTTTGCTCTTCAATTAATTTTTAACATCAATAGTTTTGAATGTGTTATGAATATTAAATACCTTTGATAATGTGATTTGGTTACAGCAATATATGTGTGTGTGTGGGGAAAGGCCCATTTTATGCATAGCATTGTGTAAATGTTGATTTCCAGGAGAATAATTTTGTAGGATACTAAATTACCTGCAACTTACCCTTTCTGAAGGAAACCCATCATGTGCACATACGCTCATACTATATTTATACTTACATATGTTCGGTGTGAGGATCTTTGTATTACAAGTAGTCTTATGCAAAACTGTATTTTAAAATGTGCCATTATGTGTTGCCATATCATAATGAACTTGGACAGTAATAATCAATTTCACGTTCTTGCTCAGTAACTCAGTGCTGCAGTTCTGCCATCAAGTACTCCAGGGTGGCATAATGTGTTATTTTGAGGAAACTTCTTTCTATCAGATTTTTGTTTACCTTGTGTGATTTTTTTGCATACCTTATATTTTACTTAAAATTTGGAGTCAGTGTGCCTGAAAAATATTACATGCTAACACAGTTCCATTTCCCAGCTCAGTTCACTTTTTATTTAGTATGGACTACGATCTGTGTTTGTGTCAAAAAATAAACTTTAACACAAACCAGAACGTCTACCTAAAGTTTTTTTGAAAAGTAAAATCACATTTATTAATATTTCCTTTTGAAAAATGTATTAGTAGCTTTCGTGTGTGTTGGTTATAGCAGGAAACAGAAATGAGGTCAGCAAAATATGGAGAAGAATGAACGTCTCATAGGACCATACATGTGAGTTTAGAAACTGAGTTGAATAAAACAGAGCATCAATTTAGCAATGCTAGTCAGCAAATACAGCCCACCACAAGGAAGATAAAACCCCCGTTCCAGTGAATACACTCTTTTGGGTCTGAATGGGGTGGAGTAGCATGAATATACTTCATGACTGTAGAATTGACCAATTGAGTTCTGATTTGTGCTGAAAAATTGCTTGCTCATCAGAGACATTAATGTGAAGATACAGTATTAGTGTAGGATACTAGATGGTAGCATTTTTCAGATATTCTCCTAGGTTCTGTCTCTACTTTCTGAGAGTATTTTGGTCTTGAAGAATAAGTTTTGTCAGCTGCAAAGTCTGAAACCTATTTCACTGATTGAATCTTTTTAATCCTCTTTACCTGAATTATTTTTAGATGTTGAGACTCTGGTTAGAGATGGTGTCCAAATGAAAGACAGATACATTAAACATTTAATAGAAAAAACACATTATTAAAACTAGAAGTTTTACTGGATATTGAAATTTATCACATGTTTATCATTAGGACAACCAAGGGACCAAGCCCAGCCAGCACAGGTTCATGAAAGGCAGGTCCTGCTTGACCAACCTGATCTCCTTCTAAGACAAGGTAACCACTTAGTGGATGAGGGTAAGGCTGTGGATGTCTCTACCTGGACTTCAGTAAAGTATTGGACACCATTTCCCACAGCATTCTCCTGGAGAAACTGTCTGCTCATGGTTTGAACAGGTGTACTATTTACTGGGCAAAAAACTGTCAAATGTCCAGGCCCTCAGAGAGTGGTGGTGAATGGCCAGCTGGTGTCCCACAGGGCTCAGTACTGAGGGGTTTAGTATCTCTATCAATGACCTGGATGTGGAGACTCTCTGTCAGTTCACAGATAACACTAAGCTGTGTGGAAGTGTTGATCTGCTGGAGGGCAGGAAGGCTCTGCACAGGGGTCTGGACAGGCTGGATTGATGGGCCAAGGTCAAGTTTTTGAGGTTCAACAAGGCAAAGTACTGGGACCTGCCCTTTGGTCACAACATCTCTGTGCAGCAGAGGTGAGGGGTGAGAGGCTGGAAAGCGACCCAGTGGAAAAGGACCTGGAAGTGCTGGTCAACAGTGGCTGAACATGAACCAGCAGAGTGCCCAGGTGGCCAAGAAGGCCAGTGGCATCCTGGCTTGTATCAGAAGTAGTGTGGTCAGGAGGACTAGGGCAGTGATTGTCCCCCTGTACTCGGCACTGAGGAGGCTGCACCTTGAGTACTGCATTCAGCTTTGAACCCTTCACTGCAAGAAAGGCATTGAGATGCTGGAGCGAGTCCAGGGAAGGCCAGCAAAGCTTCAGAAGGGTCTGGGGCACAAGTTTTATGTGGAGTGACTGAAGGAGCTGGGGGCGTTTAGATTGGAGATCAGAGTGAGGAACTCTCCACAACTACCTGAAAGCAGATTGTAGTGAGGTGGGAGTTTGTCTCTTCTTCCAGATAACAAGTGACAGGACCAGAGAAAATGGCCTCAAGTTGCACTAGGGGAGTTATAAATTGGATATTAGGAAATATTTCTTCATTGAAAGGGTTCAGGCATTGAAACAGGCTGCTCAGGGAAGCGGTGGAATCACCATTCCTGGGAATGTTCAAGAAAAATGTGGATGTGGCACTTGGGGACATGGCTTAGTGGTGATCATGGCAATGTTGGGTTAATGGTTGGACTTAAAAGTCTTGTTTGACTTTAGCAATTTATTATATGATTACAGTGCCCTGCCTTGGGACCAGTAGTGGTTTATGCTCCTGGAT